CTACACCTGTGCATCTTTCTTTAAGGCCCTAATACAACCTTCTTTTGTTCGACTGTCCTTCCATGTTTAAGAGGTGTGGTGTCAACCTATTCCTCCAAAGGTTGGGAGTTTCTGTTGGGAAGCCTTTCTGGAAAGAGTTAATATAGGAAATTTACTTAAAGAAAAAGATCCATTAGTTGTTTGTATCCTCATTGGTGTGTCCTTTGTAAATTTGATGGTGAGTCTGGCTACCATTTACTAATTACCTGTCTATTTGCTAAAACCATTTGGGAATGGTTTACTTCTTTGTTAGGGTGTAGGTGGACTCCCCCTTTGAATGTGCAGAGCTTATTCACTTCCATGCCCAACTGCCCAACAAAAAGGGCCAAGATCATGTGAAGATGTGTTAGGGCTGCAGTATGTTGGACTGTTTGGGAGGAGAGAAATTCACGGATTTTTTTAGATAAAGAGAGAAGCTTGGAAGTAATATTGGAGATTATTCACATTAAGTGATACATTGGTTGAAAACTTTGGAATTGTTTGCAGATTTTTCAGTTGATGAGATATGCTAAGGAATTGGAAGGAAATTGCAGAATCAACTTCAACTAAGGAAGCATCAAGTCCTTTTGGACCCCTCCACCTCGCGGCTTTATCAAACTGAACTTTGATGGCAGTAGTTTGGGCAATCCAGGGCCCTTCGGAATAGGGGGAGTGATAAGAGATGAGAAAGGGAATCTGTTAGCTATGTATTCTGGTCCAATTGGGGTAGGAGATTCTTTAAGGGCTGAGATACTAGGAGCTCTTGAAGGGTACAAAGGGTCAAAGACATGCATATTAATAAATTGATCATAGAAGGTGATTCTGAAATTGTAGTGAACTGGTTAAAAGAGGACAATTCCAAGCTCTGAAACTACCACAATGAAAAGAGGAAATTTAAGTGGCTAAGGACATTGAAGTTAGTTGTACATGGATAAAGAGAAGTGCAAACTCATTGGCAGATGGTTTAGCTAGGCAAGGGGKGAACAGAAACTCTATTTTTTGGGCTGTTTTGTAATTGATTTACGGTTTGGGTGTACATTGATGTATTAGGGAGTTAAGATTTTTTAGCTCCTTAGCAATGTAATTTCTCAATCTTTAATAAAATTCACTGTTATTGATAAAAAAATCCACATTCTTTGGTTTGCCTAGTTCTTATTGGTCTTCCACAATCTGGTTAGGATAATTAAAAGAATTGAGAAATTATGAGCAGTTTCTTAAGGGAACCTGGGGTATCCAAAAGGGTTGTATTATAGTTGGGTGATGGTGTTTGAAAGCAAGGAGGTTTTGATGTAGAAACTAACTCTGCTTGCTAGGTAAGTGGTTATGGAGATTCTATTTAGACTAAAAATTTATGGCATTAAACAGAACAGAATGGTGAAACAAGTTTCATGTAGTTGATCCATATATGATGATATTGTAGAAGCAAATTTGGCATGCAATCCAACTTAGGGTGCTGGGTCTATCAATAGTGACTCTAGTTTGACCATGGAAATCCATTGGTGAAATCCATCATAGCTTTAGCAAGTTAAATTGTGTGATTATTCATGATGTGTAGAGATAGAATTAGATTCCTGGAAGGTCTTTAGTGAGACACCCCCTGGGAGGTCTGAGCAGCAGTTTTCAATGTTTAGTGGGCTCTACTTTATTTCCCACATGCGATATAACTCTTGGTATCCGAGTTTTATAGTGTTTATTGGAACCTCAGATTGCTACTCTCCCTAACGGTCGACAGTATTTTTAAAAGAATGTGAGGTGCATGCTAGAGGCACGCCCTCAAAGGGAAAAACACCAAGAAGCATATTGTAAAAGCTTGTACATGCATAGGGCATACACCTCATCACCTCTTCTATAAGGATGTGTACAAAAAAGCATACACTTTGTAATGGCTGTAATGGAAGGGGTGTCATGGGCAAGAAATATGAACATTAAGAAAATGGTTATTGAGGGTGATCCAAGATTGGCGATACGGTGGCTGCAGAGAAAAGAGGTAGGGTTATGGTCCTATAGAAATGGGAAAAAAAAATTAGATGGCTGACTAGAGACATGGAGGTGAAGGTTAAATGAGTTAAGAGGGATGCTAATAGTATGGTAGATGAGCTAGCAAATCAAAGGGTGGGGAGAGCTTTTCTTCTAGGCACAATTGTAAATGAAAATGAAGGAGAGAGACAGTAGATGCTATCTCTTGAAAGAATATCATATAAGTTGTACACCTTACATTTCATATCTAGTTGAGGAATTTTATTGGGGGGGGGGTAATTAGTCCAGGATTGAACTCCCCTTTTATTGCTTTGGTCTCTAAAAAGAGAGACGCTGTTCACCCTAGGGACTCTTATAAGTCTGGTGAATAGTCTGTACGAGATTATTGCTGAAGTGTTGTCTCTTAGGATTAAGAAAGTCCTCTCTGCTATTATTACACCAAATCAAAGAGCTTTTGTGACAGGAAGACAGATTGTTGATCAGATTTTAATAACAAATGGAAGTGTAGAAGATTTTAAGAAGTTGGGGAAAAAAAGGAGTGGTTTGTAAACTTGATCTAGAGAGGGCTATGACTTGGTGTATTGGTCTTGTTTGGTTGAGGTGTTGATGAGCTTCGGGTTTGGAGATAGGTGGTACAAGTGGGTCTTAGGGTGTGTTAGAAATTGTCATTATTCTGTGTTGGTTAATAGGACAGCGGTGGACTTCTTTCCAGCTTTGAGGGGTGTATCAAGCAAGGAGATCCCCTTTCTCCTTTATTGTTTACCCTAGTAATTGATGTTTTAGGTAGATTGATTTCAAGATCAAATTCCAAGAATTTAGTAAGAGGTTGGAGAGTGGGTAGAGAGGAGGTTCTAATTACTCACTTGCAATTTGCAGATGACATGATACTCTTTTATGAAGGGGGGATATGAGTTGAATTAGGAACTTGAAGCTTACTGTACAACTTTTTGAACATTTGTCTAATTTGAAAGTGAACTTTGAGAAAAGTTGTATACTTGGAATCAATATGGAGGAGAGGGAGGTAGTCGAGTGTGCAAATATTTTGGGTTGCACGGTGTCCGGTTGGCCTTTGAATAGCTTAGGATTTCCCCTAGGAGATAACCCAAGAAAAGGAAATTTTTGGAATCCGGTTGTGGAAAATTTTGAAAAGAGACTTGCATCTTGGAAGAGGAATTATTTATTTTTTGGGAAAAGAGTTACTTTGATCAAATCCACTTTAGCTAACCTGCCTGTCTATTTTCTGTCAATTTTTAAGATTTCGGAAAAAGGTAGGAAGAAGATTGGAGAAGTTGATGAGGGATTTCCTTTGGAAGCCAGGAGAGGAGAAAAAAGACCATAGGGTGAAATAGGAGCTGGTTTGTAGAAATAAGAAGTTTGGAGGTCTTGGACTTGGAAATATTCAGAAGAGGAATTTGGCTCTACCGGGGAAGTGGTTATTGGAGATTTCCTCTTGAGGAGGAAATGTTGTGGGCTAAGATAGTGAGAAGTATTCATGGGATTGTGGATAATGGATGGGATGCTGGAATTCTGGCTAGGACTACGAGAGCTTCACCATGGAAAGCCATTCAAGCTATTCCACCTCTTTTCTTGCCTTGGATCAAGATGAGCCTATTGCCACTTTTCTAGTCCCATCAAACTCGGCCTCAGAGTTAAATAGAACTTTTTCACTTCTGGGTATCCTTGATAGTGTTTACCTGGATCCTACAAATCCTGTTTGTAGGATCTGGTCTCTTTCGGCCTCTGGCAATTTACTTGTGGCTCCTTTTTTAAAGCCTTAACATAATTCTTCCCTTGGGCTGTCTTTCCCTGTTAAGGAAGTATGGTGTAATCCTATTCCTTCTACGGTTGGGGTTTTTTGTTGGGAATCATCTTTGGAATGAATCAACACTTGTGACTTGCTTCAAAACAAAGGACCTAAAAGTCTCTTGCCTCCTCATTGATGTGTTTTGTGCAAATCTAATGATGAGAATGGCTATCACTTATTAATTTCTTGCCATTTTGCTAATTGTATTTGGGAATGGATCTTTTCCTTGTTTGGTTGTAGTTGGACTGCCCCGCCAAATGTGCGAAGTCTGTTTGCTTCTTCTTTTTTCAGGTGGCCAATGAAAAGGGGGAGAATTATGTAGAGAAGTATTAGGGCTGCAGCATGTTGGACGATTTGGGTAGAAATGAACTAGAGAATTTTTGCTGATAAGGAAAGAGGGGTACAGTCCATCTTGGAGGTGATTCACATCGGAGTGGTGCATTGGCTGAATTCTTTGGAGCTGTTTAATGACTTCTCAAATGATGATTTGTTAGGGAATTGGATGGAGTTGCAAGGTCTACTCCACCCATTGTTTCTTCTGTACATGTTTGGGTCCCTCCTCCTGGTGGGTTTATTAAGTTGAACTTTGATGGGAATAGTGTGGGGAACCTAGGGCCCTTGGTATTGGGGGAAGTCTTAAGGAATGAGGATGGGAATGTGACTGTTCTCTTCTCTAGTTTAATAGGTGAGGGTGGGTGACTCTATTCGGGCTGAGATTATGGCAGCTTTGGAAGGTGTACAAAGGGCCAAGGACTTAAACATTAGGAAACTCATTATAGAGGGAGATTCTAAGTTACGGGTGGGTTGGTTGAAGGAAGAGGCAACTGGCTTTTGGCATTACAGCAATGAAAATTGAAAATTTAAATGGTTGACTAGGGATGTTGAAGTCAAGCTGATTTGGGTCAAAAGAAGTGCAAATTCCTCTGCGGATGGGTTAGCTAAGCAAGGAGTAATTAGGGATGCTTTGTTTTAGGCTCTTGTGTAATTGTTTTGTTTTTCATTTGGTGGGAAGTTAAGAGAGTTTGTCTCCCCCCATCTTGTTGTACCTCTTCTTATTTTTTAATGAAAGCTATTCTGTTATTGATAAAAAAAAAGGTGAAAGTTATTTATAAAAATAGCATATACATTGTATAAGGCATACACTTCATACACCTTACTGGGTACATTTGCTTCATCTGATGCCCAACATTTTGTTTGATAGTAATACAAAATAAAAGTGGAGCACCATTGTGGAGGATTGGTTGCTTTCTTGCACCTACAGGTACAGATTGTTTTTTTCTTGGTTGGTGCTGCAAGGGTTTGGCTGCTGCTTCCCTTTTCTTTTTAATTGGTAACTAACTAACTATAACTTTATTATTATAATGGAAAGAATTTTATGTACAAAATGGTGAAGTGAATATGCTTAACAATCGTAGGGCAGCAAGTTATCAATTTTCCATCTTCCTCATTGTAGTTTCCCAATACAAGTGGTTTCTATTGACACCTTGCCCAGCCAAAGCATCAGTGACACTATATGATAACCTTGTCCATTTAATATATATTACTAAATTCCCTTATCAACATATTCACTTCCTATAGAGTGTATCTATGCTGCCATGTGCCTTGCCTGTTGCCTTTTCCTGCTTTTTCCTTCTTGTTCTTCATTTCATATCTCTACATTGTTCATGAGAAACTTCAGATGCAAGAGGAGGCTTCTCCCTGCATGTGAGATCGTTGTAATTGGGATTGTTCCAAAAAACTACCCCATTTAACATCACAGTGGTAACCTGTATGTTAGGGGTATCACTGCACCTCATGGAAGATGAACGAATTCCTGTGGTTTTGTTGGAATTGTCAACCACTAGAAGAAGACATTTTCAACTATCAGAAGTACAGAGAAGTGAATACCCCTAAATTTCCATAATACAATGTTTAAAATACTCATAAATTCCCTTAATATAATTTCCAAAATACACTAAATATGATGTAGTTTTAGGAGTTGACTTAGGGCAGGAAAAATTTGGAGATTCTCTGTCCCCGATAAGGAGGTGCCCCACCCCAAACCCGCTGCACCACCAGGGACGGGATGAGGATGGGGAGGGAGTGCCTTGCCCCAAACCCGCCCCATTGCCATTCCTACCCAAATTGATCAATCTGAGCTTAATCAATACAATTTGGGTCGGGTTTAGTCAAGCTTGGGTAGGTTGGTCTTGTTTGAAATAATTTATAAATATATTTTTATATAGAAGAAGACATTTTCAACTATCAGAAGTACAGAGAAGTGCAGAGAAGGGAAGAAGAGAAGAATTTTCTTGGTGGTATGGGAATTTCATCCATTGAAGGACTCTTTGGAAATAGTAATGGTGATGTTTTGGCCTTATATTCTGGTCTCAGTGTCTATAGTGATTCTACAAGGGCAGAATTTATGACAGTATTACAAGTAGTGTCACATGGACTCTCCTAAACGGATGAAGTGTCTGTTGGACTTGGACATGAGTCAGACTCTGACACTCCATGGATTCTTGAAGGAAACTTCTATGTGACATTTTTCTTGTTGTCCTTATTCAACATAAATGAACAGCTAATATACACAATGGATCAGAAGGTGAAAATCTCTTGGGCTAAGCAKCTAGGACTTAGGCATATTGAGGTAGAAGGGGACTCAAAGGTGATCATCTCTTGGGCTACAAACAATAGAATTACTCCATGGACCTTCAAACATGTGATTAGGGAAGTGGAAAAGGTTGCAAAGGAGGTAGAGGCTGAATTCAAATGTATCAGGAGTGCAAATGGGCTAGCTGATTTTCTTGCCAAACAAGGGGCACTGAGGCAACAATTGTTTTGGGCTGCACTGCTGCGCTGTAAAGTGGGACAGAAATGTGTACTAGTTTGGGAACATTATTCCCATCTACAAGCTGTAAAACTTTATTTTAAATAAACTCTCTTTTGATTATAAAAAAAACAGCTAATATACACAATGAATGGCATTTTCCCATAAAATGTTAGCTTTGTTAATTACTATTTTCTTTAAAATATTATTGAGAAACAAACAAAATCTTTTATACCATTTTCTATAGGTTTATAATGTTGAAATGCAACAAAATGTACACCATTTTAATAGTTTATACTTTTATGTATATGTTTCTGTGGGTCATTGTTTCATCTTGATAAATCAGACTCAGACATCTCTGTTTTCTGATTCCCATGTTTGTGTCTATGTAGCACTGGAATAGGGCTGAGTTTGTGGAAAGCACCATATTACAATGGTTTGGTGGTGGAGGTGGATTTGAGGGTAGTTTTTGGGCTAGCTAAAGAACAACAGCATGGGTTCTTGGATATATGAGCATTGATTCAGGTTTTTTTTGGGAGAAGATAACTAAATCCATTAAGATCAGAAACAAGGAGGGATGTACAAAGCCTTGTCAGCAAAACAAAAACAAAAGACAAAGCCCACTAAATTGGCAATGTATGAGCACTTTACAAAAAATCCCTTCCTGACCCAGATTTAGCTAGACTGTCAGCCTCTTGATTTAATTCTCTAGGAATCCATCTAAAACTGCACTGTAAGCAAGAGGCAAGCTCCCTGATTTCTAACAGCAGATGGGAGAGCTACCACGGGTCAAGAGTCTGTCCCGAAGCCCTATAACATTCCTTGAATCTCCTTCCACTGCAATGAAACAAAGCTGATGAGACTTGGCGATTCTGAGGCCTTCCAGGAGGGCCCTAGCCTCCGCTTCAGAAGCATCAACAGCCTTGGAAGGGCCACTATAGGCCCAAGTCAATTCTTCATTTGCTCTTCGAATCAGACCTATTCCAGCGTTTGAGCTGTCCTCTGCAGTTCTCCTAAAGCTGCCATCAAAGTTCAGAATGTGCTCACAGTCTTGTCTTGGGGCGATTTTAAGGAATGGCTGAGGGTGAAATGGAGAGGTTGACAATAGGGAAGGCCAATTCATTTCTATGTCATTCCGATTGATACCCTCAAAAACTTTACTATTCACCATCCAGCTGCTAATGTTAGCTAGGATACGATCTCTGATAGTCTCCAAGGAGTAACTCTCATCAAATAATCTCCTGTTTCTTTCCTCCCAGATATTCCACATGATGGCATGAATAATTGCTTTCCAGAAGCAGCTTCCTCTCTTGCCCGAACTCGTCTTTAGCCCTTGCCAAGAGTTGATGAACTCTATAACAGAATTTGGGGGAATCCAGCCGAGCTTGCCCCTAGCTAAGGAGTCGAGAAAGAATTGCCAAAGACTTCTGGCCACAGTACAGTTAATAAAAGGATGTTGAAGGAAAGAACCCATGGAGAAATAAATCAAATTTCTAATTCCTACACCCACTTCAGAATTTTTGGCGATAGGAATATTGGTATTTTTGAGTTTTTATATCTAATTTTCTAGTCGTATGTGTCTTAAGTTTTCTAGAAATCACTGCAGTTCCAAAATTACTATCTATAGTAACTTCCAAACTTAGTATTTATAGTTATTCCCATGTGTTCATTGTAAAATCATGATTTATTATTTCTTGTAATTTTTTATTTCCCTCCATTAAGTTAGTTTTAGTAGGATTATGAAGTTGTTATTTCTTATTTGGAGTTGTATTAGCAATTAGAGTCCTTATTGGAGTGTCTCTCTGGGTTAGCTATGGATTTGCCTTCGTGTAAAGCAAATAGCAATTGATTTGGGCCAGTTTCCTAGTTCAAATTTTCACACGTAAAGGGACATACTAGTTCTGAGATGAGTCTATAAATAGAGTCATTGTAATTGCAATAAAAATGATGTGATACTTGACTCAACCGCAAGAGTTTAGGTGGGTATCTGATTGTCATTTTCTGGCCTTTATGTAACTGTTTAAATCTTCTTGATCTTGTATCTGTGCTTTATTATCACATTTTTCATTTTTTTCTTTGACATCTGGTTTAATAGCACTTTTGACTTTTTGTATAATTTTATCCTTGTTTTCAAGTCCATGAACTTTGCTTGCTTTTGAGATGGGTTCCCATGATGATGATGGTGAGCCTTTCACAAGAGATTTGTGCTGCGTTTCATGTATGTATTTTATCTTCTCCCTACTAATGTGTATCTTATTTATTTTTTGTTTATTTTGTTTTAGATAAGGAGAGAGAAGAGGAACCCACTACAGGTGGAGAAGCATATGGCATTGTTCCTTCTGTTTCCTCGCATTCTTCAGCTGGCTTTCTGTCTTCAGATAGATCTGAACACCCTCCAGCAGAGGAAGCACAAAGGCAACCTTCAGAGGACCTAGTTTGTAAAGAAACGGAGACAAACAATACAGAAATGGAATCCAAACTGGAAGTTGTTCCTTCTGTTTCCTCACATTCTTCAGCTGGCTTTCTGTCTTCAGATAGATCTGAACATCCTCCAGCAGAGGAAACACAAAGGCAACCTTCAGAGGGCCTAGTTTGTAAAGAAACAGAGACAAACAATACAGAAATGGATTCCAAACTGGGAGATAGAAGCATGGAAAAAGCCAGCTTATCAGACAGTGTTTCAAGTTCAGATAAAGATGTATCAGCTGCAAATAAACAAACTACAGTGAGAGCCAGATATAGTTACACTACATCAAAGAGGATGAGAAGTAGTGGGAAAGAGTATTTGAATTCCACATTCTCTGATACAGTAGAATCAACTATTCTGGATTTGGAGGAGCTCGCAAACAAGATAAAGTGGCTTAAAGGACTTTTACAGTCTGGATTTCCATTGTCAAATGCAACGAGGCCTTCATGGAAATATTTTGATAACCGGGAACTTTCACAGAAAGATGATGGTAAAAATACATGAGAGCCAAGAAAATGTAGCTTAGTGGCAAAAGAACTTTCACTTCAGTGGGAATAAAAAATCATATTTGGATGTTCTTCTGGGCAAATGTTTTCTGACTTTGAACAAGGCAAGCAGTACCTATTTGTGGATGAAGCTAAAAACCACACCCTTAAAGTGCCATGTTTAAACCATGGAATCAATTCTAGGGTTGGAGTTGAATGTGCGCTGTTCATCTCCCCCAAACGTTCAGCTTTAAAGTTATTCTGTCGAGTGTCATCATACAGGCTAGAGCAGCAAACTGGTCGGATAGAATTTGAATATTTCGTATATCTAGATCCAAACTTGATTCATTGGTATTTCCATTCCAATTGAATCTATATTAGTCCATTAGATTTAGATGGGTTTTTAGATTGGATTTGAATATAAAAAATCATTAATAAATTAAAATAAAAACGATCAAAATATTATATATCATTAATAAAATAGGGCAAATTTCTTAAATTACCCTTATGGATTAGCTAATTGACCAACTCTACCCTTATTATTTACATATTKTCTTAATATACTTTTAAGTTTTTTGACAATTGTCTAAAACCTCTTTTGCCGTTAACTATCCATCACACTTCGTCACATGTGACATCATGTGACTAATATATTCTTCAAAAATTCTTAAAATACCCTTTATCATCTTTTGCAGTGAATTTTGGGAGCAAATCTTCCTCCTTGGAAAAAGGACGGAAAAGTTTCATATTCCATTTTTGTTTCTTCGGACTCTCTCTTTCCTGGTGTTGTGAATTTATAGTTTTCTGCTTATCTATTCATTGTTTCCCTTCTTTCTTCCATTTGAGCTTCTGCTAGGAGAATTTGAATTTTACGTTCATATTTAGGTGTGAATTTGAGCCGAGTTGAGCTGAATAGTCAGCTATTCGAGCTTGGCTTGCCAAGGTAGTATGAGGCTCGAGCTCGAGCTCAGTTTGATCTAGAACCTTGAGCTCAAGTTTCGCTCGAGCCAAAAGCTCGTAAGCTCGAGCTCGACTTGAGAAAAATGCTTTATACAAATAAAAAAAGTATATATAAAAATATTTTTTATTTGATATTTAAAAAATTAACAATTATAATAATTAGTTATTATTATATATAAAAATAAAAAGATTACATATATAGAATTTTTATTATATATATTATTTTCTATAATTTTATTATTATTATTATATTGTTGTTGTTGTTGTTATTGTTATTGTTCTATAATATGTGTGTATGTATGTATGTAGCTATTCGAGCTCGGCTCACGAGCCTCATGAGCTGAGCTTTTATAGGCTCGAGCTCGGCTCAATTAATAAATGAGCCTGTAAATTGGGCTTGAGCCAAAAGCTCGGTTAAAACCAAACCAAACCAAGCTTTTCACAAGCCGAGCTCGAATAGCTCGTGAAGAACTCAGCTCGTGGCCACCCTTATTCATATCCATGGTGATATGAATGTTGTCCTCTTATTCAAGGTTCAAAATATCGATGCCGGTATGGGCGTATCGGGTGAATCGATACTCATTTTGGTGGTTTTTTTTTTGCCAACTGGTTCAGGGGAGCCGATTTAGGTCTTCGCCACACCCAAAACTAGTCAGACCATCGATACACCCCTTGTAGGGGCATATCGATGGGGTGTCAGAACGATACGTATCGGCCAATACGGGCCGATACGTGTCGATACTTTGAACATTGCTCTTATCCTGTTTCACTCAAAGAAATTGAATGTTGGTTGTACGTAAAGTTTCTCCAAAAAGAAGAAATTGAATGTTGGTTCTTTTGTAGCTTCTTTTTTTATGTAGAGAGAGAACGACAGATATGATTCTTAATGTTTCACTTGTTCTAGCCTAAAAAATACTTGCTCAGACGGTAGGCGCCATAGTCGAGGCTGCTGAGGCTGCGAAGGATGTGCTTGTTGAAGAGACTGGAGAGTTTTGCTGAACTCTCGTCTCACTTGGAAAAGATTATTCCTGTTCTAAAAGAGTTGACCAAGAAAAACATCAATAACCCTGAGATCCTGAATAATGTTGTGGAACTCTGAACCGGGAAATTAAAGCTGCCAAGCAGCTAGTTATTGAGTGCAAAAAACAGTGTTCCATTCAGATCAGATCGGGCAACCCAACAAGATCAGGAGTAAACCGACCATCGAATGCACCTTCCCAGTAGTGCAGAACAAATTACAGTTTTTAAAAATTTTCATCAATTGAGCTTTACTTTAAAAATTTGAGAAATAATGAGGGGAAAATTTGATATTTTACTTTTTTCCATTACTATTTGACGTCGATGTCAATTGTCAGAAAATTTAGGAGTACTTTAAGACAATATCTAAACAGTAAGGACCTAAACCTTAAGGGTAGTTTAAGAAATTTGCCCATAAAATACTTTTTTGAAATCCTTTATTAAAAAGAATAAAAGGTGGCTTTGTTATTCTATACTGAGTAGATCGGATTGACATGGATATGTATTTGATTCTATTCTAAATGAACTGAATTTTGATAAACATAGATATCATTGCCTTACGGTCGAGGTGCAACTCGGGCATGTTGGGTCGGGTTGAACTRCAAATCCATTTAGCCTAATCCGAGGTTAAGCCGAAATTTAGGGATGGCAACTTTTCTTGTAAAATCAGGACCCCACCCCGAATTGGACGGGTTTTCCCGATTTTACACGGGGACGGGGCTGGGGCGGGGAAAACTTTTGCCCCGAACTAGGGATAGGACAGGGACGGGTTTTGCATATAATTCCTCGAACCAGCCCTGAACCCGATGATAAATTATTAAAATATGCTTAGGTTTAATATCAATTTCTAAACTGTCTTTAAATTTTTCTAAAATTCCTAAAACCTTTAGAGTCCAATAATTTAATGTTTACAATACCCCTAAATTTCTATAATACAATGTTTAAGATACCCCTAAATTTCCACAATACAATGTTTAAAATACTCATAAATTTTCTTAATATAATTTTCAAATTACCCTAAATATGATGTAGTTTTAGAAGTTGACTTAAGGCGGGGAAAATTCAATGATTCTCTGTCCCCGATAAGGAGGTGCCCCACCCCAAACCCACTCCACCATCAGGGATAGGATGAGGATGGAGAGGGGGTGACCAGCCCCAAAACCGCCCCATTGCCATTCCTACCCAAATTGATCAATCTGACCTTAATCAATACAATTTGGGTCGGGTTTAGTCAAGCTTGGGTAGGTTGGTCTTGTTTGAAATAATTTATAAATATATTTTTATATAGTATCATTGATTGGGATTTATGATTCAGAGTAGAATTGATTGATTATATATATATATATATATATATATATATATATATATAACTAAAAAAAGATTTTTTATATAAATATAATATATATGGGTTGGGTCAAGCTTTGACTGAACTCAGACTACTTGGAGCAACAAGTCAAGTACAAACTCAATTTTTTTTTTACTTAACCTAACTTGCACTTGTAGCGTTTTTAGGGGTGTACATTCGGTCTGTTTGGTTCGGTTCGATTCAAATCGATGACCTAATTGACTATTTGATTTGGTCATATCCCTCAACCAAATTGAACAAGAATTTAAAACCAAGCCGAACCAAATCAAATTTAATTCGGTTTGGTTTGTTTTTTTGACAATTTAAAAAAAAAATAAAAGGACTGAGCTAGTAGGAAGAGGGGGAAGGGAAAAATCAAACAAGAGTTAATTTCTAAATACTAATTAGTAATTACTCTTTGGCAGTTTTACTCCTAACCCAACTCGGCAACTCCAGTCTAGTTGTCTTTTGAGTTTCCCACGTACTAGTTACTATTAATTAATAAATACGAATTAATAGTAATTAATTTAAAGTAGTGTTTTTATTTATTATTGATACTAATCAAAATTTTGATTGGACTCAAAACCCAAAGGAGATTTAGGAAAAAGTGTAATATATAAAACAATAATTAAATTAATAAAACATAATAAAATTAATATAAGTAATTAATTATATAAATTACAATTATATATAGTATAGTAGTTCAGTTTGGTAAAATTTTGTAGAAAAACTGAATTAAAATCAAAAACCAAAATTTTAACCCATCAAAAACCGAACTGAATCAATATCCAAATTAACCAATTATTTCGGTTTGATTCGGTTCGGTTTTCGATTTCTGGTCCAAATTGGAACACCCCTACCCAAAACTAAGGCCTTACCTTGATTGGAGTAGCCCTATATAAGGTCCACGTCAGACACTCCTTTCCCTTTCTTCATCCCTTTCTTGCTTTTTSCTTGATAGGTCTCTCCTTCATCTCTTCCCCCATTCTTTCTCTCTCATTAATTCTCTCTCATTCCTCCCTTTTTCCCATTCAACCTTTTCATTAGGCCAGGTGGCAAGGCAAGATCTCTTTCACCACAAGAATTGTATTATGCATGAAAACGAAAGCAGCTACATACATGTACAGGAAACTTCACAAAATATTTTTGTTCTCGTTTCCTTTTTCCCTACTTTTCACAAATTTCCTTCTTCCATTCTAAATTGAGTAATGGTCCTTATTTCTGAGATACATCCCAATTGCCGCTCTGTTTAAGAGATACTTTCCAATGGGCTATTTTTGAAGATACTTCTTCCACTATTTTAGACAGAGATCGAGTTTAGTTGGACATGGGTAACAAAAGCTTTTCCCCTGCTAATAATTGTTTTTCCCATGATAACTTTCGCTTCTTTCAATGCTAGCAATGGTTTTACCCTGTTTTTAACACAGTTAGAGTTTACATTAGAGTTTCAACTTCACTTTGTTTCCCAAGTTTTTCTTTTTTGCGCTTTTAATTCCTTACGTCTTTTTAAAAAAAATTGTGGATTTTTTCCCATTTGTTTGCATTTTTCATAGGGGGTGTTGAGAGATTTCAGAAGTAGAGAAATCGGAAAATGAGAATGGGCCTTGAACAATTTCGAAGAAAACCTTTTGAAAATGGAAAGTGTATATCTGGATTGGAAAAAAAGTCAGCTGAAACAGTATTATATTGATTGTCTGTGTCGGGAGGTTGAAGTAAAAAGTCATCTATAACACCTATAAAAAAGTAACGGTATGTATTTCTCTTTTTCTTTCGTTTTAGGGAAAATTTCAGATTAGTATCCGGGCCTAGTGTTATTTTGGTCTTCGAACTTTAAAACGTGTTAATCTAGTACTTAAACTTTCAAAACGTGCCAATTTAGTACTTACCATTAATCAGTCGTTAAGTGGCATTTGAAAAGACACAAATACCATTCGGGTGTCATCTTATTTTCTTTATC